GCCGCAGAGAGCATGGGGACCCAGCACACTTCTCCAGGCAGCATGATCTGTGCCGACGCGGGCGTTGAAGTCACCGAGGACAATCAACTTGTCCGCCTTCGACACAGTCGCCAAGAGGGCGTGCAGGTCCTCGTAGAATTTGCCTCTTGCGGCGACGTCGGGACAGCTCATCGGCGGAGCGTAGGCGCTGATGATGGTGGCGAATTTGCCCCCACCCCGGAGAGGCAGACGGAGGCTCATCAGGCGATCGTTGATTCCCTGCGGCAAACAGGGCAGTCCTACCACGATGTCGTTCCGGATGGCGAAGGCGACACCCGCGTCTCGTCGCTCTGTCTTGGGGCGACCAATCCAGAAGAAGGTGTAGCCGGCACCCACCTCCTCCAGTTGGCCTTGTTCGGAGAATCGGGTCTCGCTGAGTGCGGCGATGTCCATCTTGTAGCGCGCCAGTTCGCGTGCCACTAGCGCCGTCCTCCGTTCCGGTCGGTTGCACCTCGGATTGTCTAAAAGTGAACGAACATTCCAGGCTGCCAGAGTGTGCGGGCTCACCTTGCCAGTCTGGCGACTGCGGCGGCGAAAAGTAGGAGTAGGCGAAGAAGACGAATATGCTGGAATAGGAAGTGAGTGATTGTTGTTGTTGTTGTTGTTGTTGTTTTTGTTGTTTCGGTTTTGGCTCTTTCGAACGTGTGTTTTTTGTGTGCGGCCACGGCCAGCCTACAGACAGCGTGGTTCCCGGCGTTATTTGGGCACCTTTTCTAGCCCCCTCCTCCTCGCGGGGGCAGGCCACGCATCCCTGAACAGGGCTGCCCGGTTATCGCAGACGGCTGCCGGACTCCACTATGGGCCACGACTTTTTTTTAGTGAGAGAACGACCCGAATTAGCTTGGGACCTTGGTGGTGATGGTGATGTGATGGAGTGAAGTAGGAGAGAGCATACTCACAACCTAACGCTAGGGACTTACAGCTGGCTAGAGTGGACAAACAGACGCAGTCATTAGTCAGAGACAGAAGTGAGAGGGCACCATTCAAGTGTCAAGCATCGTAACACCTAGCTATTAGCAGAG